AGAGGATGGAAGTGTGGAACTTTCCAGGGGAGAGGCAAAACATCATGGTCACCCTTAGAGAGGAGCTGGTCCAAGAGGGAAGGTCGCAGCAGAGACACAGCCTCCTCACAATATCCAGCTATGCCTGACGCCAGCTAATCCAAACGTGGCGGTTCCATGAGCCATCCATCCCTCCTTTCTGCCTGAATCTGTTTGAGTGGGTTTCTGTCACCTTCAGCCAGCAGGTCCAAACTTGTAAGAAGCTACACAAGCAGCCACAGCCGCTGCCCCCAGGAGGATGCTGCCCCCAGGAGGATGCTACCCCCAGGTGGAGCAAAGGCTTCAAAACCAGGAACAGCCTCTCCCTCTTCACACCTCTCTGCAGAACTCTGCACACAACAGGTGCTTCACAAACCCCAGCTGAAGGGAGCCCCGCCGCGGGCTTTTCACAAACACAGGAGGTGGGCCAGTGTCTGTGCCTCAGTTTCCTTGGTTAACTGCTAAAAGGTACTGAAAGCCCCACTAGGGGTGGGGCTATGATGAACAGAAAAGGGGGAGGGAAGCAAGGTCAAGTCTGCAAGCCAGATTGATCCCTACGTTCTGCCAGGATTTTTTTTCTGTTCCCTTTTTTTTTTTTAGATGGAGTTTCGCTCTTGTTGCCCAGGCTGGAGTGCAATGGCACGATCTTGGCTCACCGCAACCTCCGCCTCCTGGGTTCAGGCAATTCTCCTGCCTCAGCCTCCTGAGTAGCTGGGATTACGGGCACGTGCCACCATGCCCAGCTGATTTTTTGTATTTTTAGTAGAGACGGGGTTTCACCATGTTGACCAGGATGGTCTCGATCTCTTGACCTCGTGATCCACCCGCCTTGGCCTCCCAAAGCACTGGGATTACAGGCGTGAGCCACCGCGCCTGGCCTCTGTTCTTTTGTTTTTGACACAGAGTCTCGCTCTGCTGCTGAGGCTGGAGCGCAGTTGTGTGATCAAGGCTCACTGCAGCCTGGCCCTCTGGGGCTCAAGCCATTCTCAGCCTTCAGAGTAGCTGGGACTACAGGTCCTTGCCCCCCTACCCAGCTAATTTTTTCATTTTTTTGGTGGAGACGGGGGTCTTCCTACATTGCCTGGGCTTGCCACAAATATCTGGGCTCAAGTGATCCTCCTGCCTTGGCCTCCCAAAGTGCTGGGATCACAGGCATGAGCCATGAGGACTTTTACTGAGCACATACTATGTGCCTGGCCGTTTGCAAGGTTGGAGATTCAGAAGTGAGCAATACAGACCAAATCCCCACCTTTGAGTGGGGGAGATGGACAAGAGGCATGTCACCTCCACAGGCTGCCTGTTAGGAACATCTCAGGCAGTGGCCACTGCCTATGCAAAGGCCCTGAGGTGGAGAGAGCTTGGCCTAGACAGCAGAAAGGGAGAATGCTGGGTGGGATGGAGGGAAGCAGAAAGTGAGGTGGGAGAGGCGACAACAGGAAGAAGACGACCAGAGGACTAAAGGCCCCAAGGGCTGGGACTAGGATTCCACTTTTACTCTGAGGGAAAATGGAACCCATGAAGGGTTACATGGGAGGAGCTTTCAACATTAGACCAAGCCAGGCACAGTGGCTCATGCGTACAATCCCAGCACATGGGGAGGCCGAAGCGGACAGATTACTTCAGGTCAGGGGTTCAAGACCAGCCTGGCCATCATGATGAAACCCCATCTCTACTAAAAATACAAAAATTCTCATGCTGTAGGACTGGCCCTAAAAAAAAAAAAAAAAAGAGAGAGAGAGAGAGAGAAAAGAAGACAAAAAAGAAAAAGAAAAAACCAAACAAAAATTAGCGGGGGGCATAGTGGCGAGTGCCTATAGTCCCAGCTACTCGAGAGGCTGAGGCAGGAGAATTGCTTGAACCCGAGAAGTGGAGGCAGAGGTTGCAGTGAGCTGAGATCGCACCACTGCACTCCAGCCTGGGAGACACAGCGAGACTCTCTTAAAAAACAAACAAACAAACAAAAATAGCACACTGGACCAAAGGTGGGGGACCCATGAGTCAAGGACTGAATCTGGCTTCAGCCAATAAATTGCTGTGACCTAGACCACACTCCTGCACCCATCTGGGTCTCAGTTTCTCTACCTGCACCCCAGAGAGCTCAGCTAATACCTACAGCTTTCTCAAACGCAGGGTTGGGGACCAGCCCCTCTACCCCGGGCTGGGTGACCCAGCCTGGCAACCCGGCGTGGCCCACCTTGCCCTTGCGGAAGAGAGCCTTGATGTTGTCCGGCTGGTGCTCCAGTACAAGGCTGCAGGAGCGCAGGGCCGCGCGGTAGTGGTCCAGCTTCAGCTGCGAGGCCGCCAGGTTGTTCAGACACTTCACCTTCAACTGCAGGAGCTGTGCCTCCTCCTCGAATGTCATGTCCACTATTGGGAGACAGTGCCCACCACGGCGGCTGTCACCACACTAACAGACCCCCCGAACCCCGTGGAAGCTGCCTTCTACCCCAGGGGAATGCAGGCCTCTCGGGCCTGTTTCCCCAGCTTTAACCCGAGACCAAGGGCCGTGCTTTCCTGGGGCTCTCCGAGGAATCTACAACATGGAGCCTTAAGCAAGCAAGGGCCTGACCCATGGGGCGTGTGGACTGGCCCTATGTGTGGTCACCCCTGTCCCCACATCCACCTGCATTCTGTAACACTCCACTGGTCTGGGATAGACCACGAGTTGGCAACAGGCCCCTAGGTTAGGGTCAGTTGGGGATCTACCCATATTATGGGATATTCTAGAATGTTCCGAGTCTGAGGCTCTCTGGGGCTAAAAGTTTCTGGCATGGAGAGTGGACACCTTTGCAGGGGAGGTGGTGGGGATCTGACCCAGCGGGCGGTCACCTTTGGCGCTGGAGGTGATGGCCTTGATGGCGAGATCGTAGGAGTTGGCGGCCAGGACGAAGTCCGCCCGCTGGTAGTGGGCGTTGCCACACTCCCGCTTCCGGTTGGCCAGGGCCACGCGCTCCTGCCCTGTGAGCATCTCCAGGTCAGGCCCATCCACAGCCGTCTTCAGGGTCACCTCCAGGCACAGGGCCGCGTGCGGGGGGATATATGGGCTCCTGCTAGTGGGGTGGGGGCAGGCAGGGGTTGCACTCAGACCTGGTGACCCCCAAACCTGCTGGGCTGGCTCAGAGGGAGTGGGCCTGGCTCAAGCCCCGGATCTATCTCCCTCCGCCCTCTGTCATTCCCTCCTCCGTAAAGTGCCGGGTAAGTGACATGCCGCCTAGGAGCTATGGGACCTGATGAATGAGTTCCCCTTCCTAAGCCTGCGTTTTCCTCTTTTTTAAGGGAAGGGTCTCACTGTGTTGCCCAGGCTGGAGTGCAGTGGCACAATCTTGGCTCACTGCAGCCTCGAAATCCTGGGCTCAAGTGATCCTCCTGCCTGAGCCTCCTCAGTAGCTGGGACTACAGGCATGCACCACACCCAGCTAATTTTTAGCACTACACCCAAGTAATTTTTAAATTTTTTTGTATGGAAATGGGGTCTATATTGCTTAGGCTGGTCTGAAAAACCGGACCTCAAGCAATCCTACCTCAACTTCCCAAAGTGCTGGGATTTCAGGTGTGAGCCACCTCACCCAGCCTGTTTCTCCTTCTATAAAATGGGCAGGTAGACTGGGTAAGCTGAGGGGTACACCCACTCCACCCACCCCCTGCTGAGACCCTAAGGGTGGCCGGCTCTCACCTGCCTTGGGGACCGTAGCAGTACTTGGAGTCAGCAGTAACCATGGCCGTCTCCCCCACATCCATGAGTGGGACACTGAGATCCAGGGCCTGGGGTATGTGGGGACAGCCAGCAGTCAGGCAGGCCCAGGCCCAGCGAGGTGCACCCCTTGCCCCTGCCCTGTCCCGCCCCAGCCCGCACCTGGATGACATCACAGTCGCCCAGGGTAAACACCAGCTCCGGCTCCTCCTGCACCCGTGTGCCGTTCTCCAGCGATGTCTGCAGATGCACGGTGACCACCTGGCCCTTGACTGGGCGGCTCGAACCTGGTGGCCCTGGGACCAGCGTCTTCTTCCTCAACAGCCCATTCCCTGCCAGGGGCCAGGGACATGCAGCCTGTCACCAGGCAGCTCAGACAGGCACCCGTTCCCATGAGCCCCACCCTGAGCTCTGCCCACTCGCTGTCCCAGGGGAATGCAGGCCTCTCTGGCCTCAGTTTCCCCAACTTTAACCCGGGACCAAGGGCTGTGCTTTCCTGGGGCTCTCCCAAAGAATCTACAACGTGGCACCTTAAACAAGTGAGGGCCTGGCCTGTGGGGCGTGTGGACTGGCCCTGTGTGCTGCCACCCCAGTCCCCACATCCACCTGCATTCTACAACACTCCACTGGTCTGGGATAGACCATGAATCTGCAACAGGCCATAGATTTGGGGCAGTTGGGGATCTACCCATATTCTGGGATTTTCTAGAATGTTCTAAGTCTGATGCTACCTGGAGCTGCAAGTTTCTGGAACAGAGAATGGATACGAACTTCTGTTTCTGGCCAACACCGGGGCACAAACCAAACCTCCAATGGCCACTCTGCCACCAGAGTGGGGGACTCCATGTGTGGGGCACTGAGCAGGATGGGACACACTTCGGGGTGACAGTGCTGGTGCCAGGGCCCAACACAGCAAACAATGGTTGGTCTGGTTGTTATTGTTGTTTTTAAGAGACGGGGTTAGTGCTACAGCTGCTTTGAAATTTGTCTTGCAGGCTTTCCTGTTTTTGCCAGAAAGCCTCCAAAAATTTTTCCAAAAAAATGAATAAATAAATAAAAAGAGACGGGGTTTCACTATGTTGACCAGGCTGGTCTCGAACTCCTGATCTTGTGATCCACCCACCTTGGCCTCCCAAAGTGCTGGGATTACAAGCGGGAGCCACCATGCCTGGCTTTTTTTTTTTTTTTTTTTTTTTTTTTTAAAAGAAAATTGAGGGCTAGGCACAGTGGCTCACGCCTGTAACCCCAGCACTTTGGGAGGCCCAGGCAGATCACCTGAGGTCAGGAGTTCAACACCACCCTGGTCAAGATGGTGAAACCTCGTCTCTACTAAAAATACAAAAAGCGGGGCACCACCATAAGGAGGGGCGAACTGGCCCAGGTCGGAAACGGAGCAGGTCAAAACTCCCATGCTGATCAGTAGTGGGATCGTGCCTGAATAGCTACTGCACTCCAGCCTGGGCAACATAGGGAGACCCTGTCTCCAAAAAAAATAAAATAATGGCCGGGCGCGGTGGCTCACGCCTGTAATCCCAGCACTTTGGGAGGCCGAGGCGGGTGGATCATGAGGTCAAGAGATTGAGACCATCCTGGTCAACATGGTGAAACCCCTAAACGTCTCTACTAAAAATGCAAAAATTAGCTGGGTGTGGTGGCGCGCACCTGTAGTCCCAGCTACTCGGGAGACTGAGGCAAGAGAATGGCATGAACCCAGGAGGCGGAGGTTGCGGTGAGCCGAGATCGCGCCATTGCACTCCAGCCTGGGTAACGAGCAAAACTCCGTCTCAAAATAAATAAATAAATAAAACGAAAATAAAATAATAAAATAAAAAATAAATAAATAAATTAGCTGGGCGTGGTGGTGGGCACTTGTAATCCCAGCTAATCGGGAGGATGAGGTAGAGAATTACTTGAACCCGGGAGGTGGAGGTTGCAGTCAGCTGAGATCATGCCACTGCACTCCAGCCTGGGTGACAGAGTGAGACTCTGTCTCAAAAAAAAAAAAAAAAATGAGGTTGGCCAGGTTTCCAGCTATTTGAGAGGTCAAACTGGGAGGATCACAAGTTCAGACCAGCATCTGGGCAAAACGGCAAGAACTCAGTCTCCCGACCCTCCTCAAAAAGAAAGAAAACCAACGCTCAGAGAGGGCAACCAGCCAGCCCCTCAGGCTGAAATTCTAGCCCTGAGATGCTTGGGCCTAAGTTTACCCAGCCATGAAATGACATGCTCATGGGGCCCTTGGTTAGCAGAGGCCCTGGGATACACGGTCTCTACCACTGCACCAAGTATGCTGAATTTAGAAGTTAAGCAAAGGCCAGGTTCAGTGGCTCATGCCTGCAATCCCAGCACTTTGGGAGGCCGAGGTGAGAAGACTGCTTGAACCCAGGAGTTTGAGGCTGGCCTGGGCAACACAGTGAGACCCCATCTCTACAAAAATTAAAAAATGGCCAGGCACAGTGGCTCACATTTGTAATGCCAGTACTTTGGAAGGCTGAGGCAGGAGGATCACCTGAGGTCAGGAGTTTGAGTCCAGCTTGGCCAATGTGGTAAGACCCCGTCTCCAATAAAAATAAAAAAATTAGGGGCCAGGCTCAGTGGCTGATGCCTGTAATCCCAGCACTTTGGGAGGCCGAAGTGGATGGCTCACCTGAGGTCAGGAGTTCGAGAGCAGCCTGGCCAACATGGTGAAACTAAAAATACAAAATTTAGCCGGGCGTGATGGCAGGAGCCTGTAATCCCAGCTACTCGGGAGGCTGAGGCAGGACTTGAACCCAGGAGGCAGAGGTTGCAGTGAGCCGAGATCACGCCATTACACTCCAGCCTGGGCAACAAGAGTGAAATTCCGTCTCAAAAAAAAAAAAAAAAAAAAAAATTAGCTGGGCATGATAGCAGGTAACTGAAGTCCCAGCTACTCAGGATGCAGAAGCAGAAGAATCACTTGAACCTGGGAGGTAGAGATGGCAATGAACCGAGATTGCACCACTGCACTCCTGCCTGGGCAACAAAGCAAGATTGTCTCAAAAAACAAAATAGCCAGGCATGGTGGCTCACGCCTGTAATCCTAGCACTTTGGGAGGCCGAGGTGGGTGGCTCACCTGACATCAGGGGTTCAAGACCAGCCTGGCCATCATGGTGAAACCCCATCTTAAAAAAAAACAAAAAACAAAAACAAAATAAAGTTAAACAGAGCTGAACAGCTTATAAACAAAAGCTGCCTCTCGTGTCCCCAGCAATCACAGGAATGACCATAGCCAATACCCTCACAAACACACCCAGATAACCCCACAGTGACGATCCCCCGTCATCCCAGGAAAGCACTGGAGTGACTGCTGCCAGCACCATCCCGTCAAAGCAGGAAATGCAGGTGCAGAGGGTAGGACCCGGCCAGGGACACACAGCCCTGCCCCTTCTTCACAGTGCTACCAAGGTGTCCACAAAACACTATCTTAGCAAAGCAAGGGCTACATGGGTCTGAGGTGCTCTGCAGTCCCTCCTGTTCCCATGTTTACCTGAGTTATATAATATACCATTGGCCTAGAGTATTTCTTTTTTTTTTTTGACAGTTTCATTCTTGTTACCTAGGCTGGAGTGCAATGGCGCAGTCTCAGCTCACTGCAGCCTTCACCTCCTGGGTTCAAGCGATTTTCCTGCCTCAGCCTCCCAAGTAGCTGGGATTACAGGTGTGCACCACCATGCCCAGCTAATTTTATTGTATTTTTAGTAGTGACGGGGTTTTGCCATGTTGGCCAGGCTGGTCTTGAACTCCTGACCTCAGGTGATCCACCCACCTCAGCCTCCCAAGGTGTTAGGATTATAGGCGTGAGACACTGCACCCGGCCTTTTTTTCTTTTTTTTTTTTGAGACAGAGTCTTGCTCTGTCACCCAGGCCGGAGTGCAGTGGTGCGATCTTGGCTCACTGCCACCTCTGCCTCCCGGGTTCAAGCAATTCTCCTACCTCTGCCTCCCAAGTAGCTGGGGTTACAGGTGCCCAAACCACGCTTGGCAAGTTTTGGTATTTTTTGCAGAGATGGGGTTTCACCATGTTGTCCAGGCTGGTCTCAAACTCGTGACCTCAGGTGATCCACCCGCCTCCCAAAGTGCTAGGATTATAGGCGTGAGCCACCACTCACGGCCTGGCCTAGAGTATTTCATGAGTCTGAGTGAACTCTGGCCTAAAGGTTAGCGGCAGTGGTATATATCCAACTATGTTCTGGAATATTCTAGAATATTCCAAATTTCTGTGCTACTCCCACCTTGTACATGTCCCCTAACTCATCTGGAAACCACCAAGCTAGGGGATCCCAATGGACCTGTGTCTCAAGGTTTGCAGGCACTGATGGGTGCCTCTCAATCAGGTGGCCTCTGGGAAAATCATGTCTCCTCTCAAGAGTTCAGTTTCCGGCTAGGCGCGGTGGCTCACATCTGTAATCCCAGCACTTTGGGAGGCCGAGGCGAATGGATCACCTGAGGTCAGGAGTTCGAGACCAGCCTGACCAACACGGTGAAACCCAGTATCTACTAAAGATACAAAAATTAGCCGGGCATGGTGGCGTACGCCTGTAGTCCCAGCTCTTCGGGAGGCTGAGGCAGGAGAATTGCATGAACCCAGGAGGCCGAGGCTGCAGTGAGCCGAGATTGTGCCACTGCACTCCAGCCTGGGCGACAGAGCGAGACTCTGTCTCAAAAAAAAAAAAAAAAAAAAGTTCAGTTTCCTTGCCTGAGAAACAGAAGCCCCCATATTGACCTCAAAAAGCGGCTGGCACAATTATAAACACAGTGCGAACCTCATGGTCCGAGTGGGTGTGGGGCAGCTCAGCTCTCACAGTATCAGGGGGAAAGAACAGCTTGCCAATCTCTAACATGGCCAGGGAGGCTGTGTGACCTCGGGCAAGCACCTTGGCCTCTCTGAGCCTACCCTTTGCCATCTGTAAAGTGGGGATATAGTAGAAATTACAATGCGGTGGTTTTGTTTGTCTGTTTGTTTGTTTTTTAGAGACGGGGTTTCACCATGTTGGCCAGGCTGGTCTTGAACTCCTGACCTCAAGCAATCCACCCGCCTCGGCCTCCCAAAGTGCTGGGATTACAGGCATTAGCCACGGCGCCCAGCCTGTTTGTTTGCTTTTGTTTGCTTGCTCTGTCACCCAGGCTGGAGTGCAATGGCACAGTCAGTTCACTGCAACCTCCGCCTCCTGAGTTCAAGCGATTCTCCTGCCTCAGCCTCCCAAGTAGCTGGCTACAGGCGTGTGTCACCACCCCCAGCTAAGTTTTGCATTTTTTTTTTTTTTTTTGAGACAGAGTTTCGCTCTTGTTACCCAGGCTGGAGTGCAATGGCTCGATCTCGGCTCACCGCAACCTCCGCCTCCTGGGTTCAGGCAATTCTCCTGCCTCAGCCTCCTGAGTAGCTGGGACTACAGGCACACGCCACCATGCTCAGCTAATTTTTTTGTAGTTTTAGTAGAGACAGGGTTTCACCATGTTGACCAGGATGGTCTCAATCTCTTGACCTCGTGATCCACCCGCCTCGGCCTCCCAAAGTGCTGGGATTACAGGCTTGAGCCACCGCGCCCGGCCAAGTTTTGCATTTTTAGTAGAGACAGGGTTTCACCATGTTGGCCAGGCTGGTCTCCAATTCCCGACTTCGGGTGATCCACCGCTGCCTCAGCCTCCCAAAGAGCTGGGATTATAGGTGTGAGCCACCGTGCCTGGCCCACAGTGTTGTTGTAAGGATGAAATAAAATGATATATAGGCCTGGCACAAAAATCAGTGCTCAGTAAATATTACCTGGTGTTATTTTTATTTTTTTAGGACAAAGTCTTGCTTTGTCACCCAGGCTGGAGAGCAATGGCAGTTGTGTTATTTTTAGTAGTAGTAAGATTTTTGGCCAGGCACGGTGGCTCACACCTGTAATCCCAGCATTTTGGGAGGCCGAGGCGGGTGAATCACTTCAGGTCAGGAGTTCAAAACCAACCTGGCCAACATGGTGAAACCCCATCTCTGCTAAAAATACAGAAAAAAAGTCCAGGCATGGTGGCTCACGCCTATAATCCCAGCACTTTGGGAGGCCAAGGTGGGCAGATCACGAGGTCAAGAGATCAGGCCCATCCTGGCCAACATGGTGAAACCCCATCTCTACTAAAAACACAAAAATGAGCTGGGCATGGTGGTACACACCTGAAATCCCAGGTAGTTGGGAGACTGAGGCAGGAGAATTGCTGGAACCTGGGAGGCGGAGGTTGCAGTGAGCCGAGATTGCGCCACTGCACTCCAGCCTGGAGACACAGTAAGACTCCATCTCAAAAAAATAAAAATAAACAAAAAAAAATTAGCCAGGTTCAGCGGTGGGAGCCAGTAATCCCAGCTACTTGGGAGGCTGAGGCAGGAGAAGCACTTAAACCTGGAAGGCAGAGGTTACAGTGAGCTGACGTTGCACCACTGCTTCCAGCCTCGGTGACGGAGCAAGACTCCATCTCAAAAAAATAAGAGAAGTAGTAAGATTTTTATCAGTAGTGGTAGTGATATTTAGTAATATTACTGTTTCATCAGTGTCAATATGATTGGATGGTATTGCTACAGTATTGTTTGTACAATGAACAGTGGTAATGCTGTCTTGTTATTTGCATGGGCACCGGCGTTATTTGGTATACGAGATACCGGTACTATACCACCGGCAAGATGACTTCCACAGAATACTAACATTTCTCTTGTTTTCAGTTGCTGTGATGGGGTATGCTGGGCAGAACATGTGTGAGTTCCCCGAGTTTACTTCTTGTAGGATTTCTCCGAGCATTTACAATAGTATGAGTACTGTGAACCCACCAGAAGGCTGAACACGATAACATTCCACTGGTCTACTTGACCCCAGGACACAATTTTGTTTTTGGAGGTGGATGTCTTGCTGCGTTGCTCAGACTGGCATGCACCCAGGACACATTTTTTTTTTTTTTTTGAGATGGAGTTTCGCTCTTGTTACCCAGGCTGGAGTGCAATGGCGCGATCTCGGCTCACCGCTACCTCTACATCCCAGGCTCAAGCGATTCTTTTGCCTCAGCCTCCCAAGTAGCTGGGATTACAGGCATGCGCCAACACACCCAGCTAATTTTTGTATTTTTGGTAGACACGGGGTTTCACCATGTTGGTCGGGCTGGTCTCAAACTTCTGACCTCATGATCCACCCGCCTCGGCCTCCCAAAGCGCTGGGATTATAGGTGTGAGCCACAGTGCCTGGCCTAGGACACATTTTTCAGAGCACAAGCCTGTGTCACACAAACACCAGAAAAAGACACAGTGTTAGGGTTAGGAGCTGCCAGCGCCTGGTGTGCTGGCTGTGTGGCTCTGGGCAGGTGACTCAGCCTCTCTGAGCTACTGTTGGCAGATCTGGGAAACAGGGACACAGTACATTGTGCACGTGTGTGAGTCAATGAATGAGGTACATCAACGTGAAGCATCTCCAGTAGTTGCCTTTGGTCGGCGATCATGGTGGTGACCACGTGACTTCCAACCCTCACAGCACAGATGGGGAAATGGGGCTCGGGGACGAGAGGGCCAGGGCCAAGGTCACCCTGATCCACCCTTGCTCCTTACCCAGAATATCCAGCCACTCTTCCGGGGCTGGGGCCGGGGCAGGCTCGGGCTCCATGGCAGCCAGGAACTCTCGGGCCAGGGCCCCAGGCTGCTCAGCTTCCTCCGCCACGGGTTGTCCCATGTCCTCCAGTGGTGGCAGCTCACTCAGGTCATCTTCCTCCTCCTCTTCCTCCTCCTCTTCCTCCTCCCCCTCAGCATCCTCAACCCCATCCAGCACCTCAAAGTCCTCAAGCGGCGGGACCCCTGCGGGCGGCGGGGCAGAGGGCTCAGAAGGTTCAGCACACGACGCCATGCTGCTGGGGGGACGGGAACTGGCCCTGGAAGTGGAGGGCAGAGATGTGGGTAAGACTCCTACACAGCCCCTCAAAGTCCCCACTGTACGCATTCCCCACACTGCCAATCGCTTTCTGTGTAACTCAGGGACTCCAAGCCACAGTTTCCCCATCTATACAGTGGGTAGAACAACAACCCCAGCTTGTTGGAAGAAGTTAACCCAGGCATCAAGCCTTTGGCATCAGGCTCAAACAGTGTTAGCCATTATTAGAGCTAATTATTGTTTAATGTTTACAAATACTCCAGGAAGTCGGGAACATTCCCCTCAACATTTTACGGAACAGGAAACAGGCCAGAGGGGCAAAGCCATTTACCCAAGGTCACAGAGAAAGCCAATGGCCAAGGGAGGATTTGAACCTGGGGCTTCAGGCCCTGTGGCTTTGCCTGATTATATGCTAAGTCAGGGGTGCTGGGATTTTTGTGGAGAGGACAGCTTCTGAGGACTTAGGGAAGCCATTTTTAGAGCCTCTGGGGCCACTGAGGGAATTGAACCTTTCACTAGGGCCTCCCACCTCCAGCCTCTTCTCCAAACAGGAGACCCTTCCCAAGACCACTAACAGTAATCACCCAGAAACCCTGAGCATGTTTCCTCTCACGCTCTCAATCTAAACCTATCCCCCACAACCCCAATATCAGGGAACCTGGTCAAAACCCTTCCCTAGGAGTGCATCCTCCTCTCCTCAGCCTCGGTCCCACCCCCTCAAAGCAGCCTCCTTTCCAGGAGTGGTCGAGGTCCCGAAGCGTTCTACAGCCTCTTCTTTGCCCCAGGCCTCCTGAACCAACAACCTAACCCTCTGTCCCCTAGGCCCCAAGCTCAGAGGAGTGTGGCACAGCCATCAAACCAGCCCGCAGCATCCCCTCCTCAGCCCTCACCTGCCTGCCCCTCCCGGGCGCGGGCCCCACTTTCTGAGACCCTCCCAGCCCCCACCCCCACAATGCCCCGCGCCCGCACAATTCGGCCTCCTCTCCCACCCCCGCCCCAACTACCACCGCCCCCAGCCCTGGCCAGCTCTCCCCACAGCCGCTCCGTCGCGCCGTAAACACTCTAGTGTCCCCAGACGCCCCCCCTTCTCGATCCCATAACACCCCACGCCCTCCTGATGCCCCACAGCCCGGCCGGGCCCTCCTTCAAGCCCCGACCCAGGCCCCTAACGCCCCACGCCTGTCTGACGCCACCAGCCTGGGGCACCCGACCCCCGCACGCCTCAGGCGCCCCTGGCCCTGCACGCCTGCGTAGGGAAGCCCCCACTGGATTTCCCTTTGCCTCCATGACCCCCATCCCCGGCCACCCCAGGCCGGCCGCGCCCCCTTGGGCACCCGCGACCCCCGTGTGGCCCCAGGCTCGCCGCCCCCGCGGCGCCTCGCCCCGCCCATCGGCCGCAGCCCCCTGAGCGCTGGCCCCTGGCCCAGCCCAGGCCAGGGCAGCGCCCCAGCCGACAAGGCGCCCCCAGCGCCGCAGGACACTTGCCTCTGGCTCCGGGACCCCCGCCTGGGGTCCTGCGCCCCCCTCCCCGCCCCCAGCCGCGGCCGCCGCGCCTCGGGAACCAGGTTCAGCCGCTCGGCCCCGCCCCTGCGTGCCCATTGGTCTTCGTTGCCGCTACTGCCGCGCCCATTGGCTCGTGCAGACATCCGTTCCGGGCGTTGGCACCTCCCCCTTCCTGCTTGGCTCCCCGGAACGTTCTTAAAGGGACCCGAGCCTCCAGGCCGCTTGGGCGGGGGCAGGAGACCCTGGGCTGGACCTCAACACGAGTCAGTGTCGTGCAGCCTGTGCGACTCCCGGCTCTCCTCTGAGCTTCATCCTGATCATCTGCGAAATGGGGATAAACACCCCCATCTATGCACTCTCACCTTGGGGGCTGTTGGGGGGGACAGCACTAAATGCTATTTCCTTAAAGAGTTCCGGCAAGGCAGCTCTGGGGTTGCTGATGACCCAACCTGAAGCCCTAGTTACAGAAGAGGACCTGAGGTCCTGAGGGGGAGTGACGTGCCCAAGGGCATACAGAACCCTCCCTCCCATCCCCCACCGAGTTTAATGTCCAGAAGGTTGTGTGGTGAATACAAGAGGCGCTCAATTACCGCTGGGCAGGCGACTGAGCCCGCAGGGCCACTGGAAAGAGTTCATCCCCCATGCACTCTGCTGAAGGATAAGGTGCTCACAGCCCAGGGAGAAGGCGGAATCTTTGATTAGCTAAGTTTTTATGGATCTTGTTTTGAAACCGGGGCACTTCTCCCTCCGTCACTCAGTTTTATTTCCTTTCTAGCAGTTACTCCCATCCAAAATTATCTTGTCATTTTTTTGCCTGTGGTTGGACGGGGCACCTCCCACTCTACTCCAACGTGGCAGAGATTTTTGCTTGTTTTGTGCCTAACACCTCCCTGAACCATGCCTGGCATCTATAGAAGCTCAATAAATGGATGGATGGATAGATGGGTGGGTGGGTGGATGGACGGATGGATGAATGAATGAATGAGTCAGACACTGGCTTTGGGAGGTAGCTATCATGGAGGTGGTAATGGGCTTTTTGGAGATAACCTCTCAGGTTGGAGTTCCTAGGTTGCCTCCTACAGGAAGCCCTCCCAGACCTCTCCAAGGCAAGACCAGGGGCCTCATTTGGCTGTCTTGGCAAAATGAAATCGATGAACCTCCACTTCATAACTAGTTTACTTATTTTTATTTATTTATTTTGAGACAGAGTCTCGCTCTGTCACTAGGCTGGAGTGCAGTGGTGCAATCTCAGCTCACTGCAACCTCTGCCTCCCGGGTTCAAGCAATTCTCCTGCCTCAGCCCCCCCAAGTAGCTGGGACTACAGATGTGCACCACCACACCCAGCTAATTTTTGTATTTTTAGAATTTTTAAAGACAGGGTTTCACCATGTTGGCCAGGATGGTCTCGCACTCCTGACCTCATGATCCATCCCCCTTGGCCTCCCAAACTAGTTTACCTATATCTCTGCCTTTTTTTTTCTTTTTTCTTTCTTTTTTTTTTTTTTGAGACGGAGTTTCGCTCTTGTTACCCAGGCTGGAGTGCAATGGCTCGATCTCGGCTCACCGCAACCTCCGCCTCCTGGGTTCAGGCAATTCTCCTGCCTCAGCCTCCTGAGTAGCTGGGATTACAGGCACACACCACCATGCCCAGCTGAATATTTTTATATTTAGTAGAGACGGGGTTTCACCATGTTGACCAGGACGGTCTTGATCTCTTGACCTCGTGATCCACCCGCCTCGGCCTCCCAAAGTGCTGGGATTACAGGCTTGAGCCACCGCGCCCGGCCTTCTTTTTTCTTTCTATTTTTTTTTTTTTTTTTTTTGGATAGGGCCTTACTTTGAAACCCAGGCTGAAGTGCAGTGGCACAATCTCAGATGACTGCAACCACCTCAACCTCCTGGGCTCAAGCGATCCTCCTGCCTCAGCCTTCTGAGTAGCTAGGATGACAGGTGCGCCATCATGTACAGCTGATATTTATATTTTGTGTAGAGATGGGGTTTCCCTATGTTACCCAGGCTGGTCTAAAACTCCTGAGCTCGAGCAATCCTCGCATTTTGGCTTCCCAAAGTGTTGGGATTACAGGTGTGAGCCACTGCCTTGCTGACCTCTGCCTTGCCCACTACACTGGAAGAGCCCTAAAGCTTGGGAACGCTTTGCTGTTTCTCATCGTTATATCTCTGAGGCTTGCACAGTGCCTGGCACAAAAGGTAGTGGTGGAGTCTCGGGGTAGTCACTGAGGAAGGAAGGAAGGGAGGCTGGACGGCCAGAAAAGGTGGTAACACAGCAGAGCTATGTAAGAAATCACCTAGGGGGCTGGGCACAGTGGCCCACGCCTGTAATCCCTCTACTCTGGGAGGCCAAGGTGGGTGGATCACTTGAGGTCAGGCGTTCAAGACTAGCCTGGTCAACATGGCAAAACTTCATCTCTATTAAAAATGCAAAAATTAGGCCGGGCGTGGTGGCTCAAGCCTGTAATCCCAGCACTTTGGGAGGCCGAGGCGGGTGGATCACGAGGTCAAGAGATCGAGACCATCCTGCCCAACATGGTGAAACCCCGTCTCTACTAAAAATACAAAAATTAGCTGGGCATGGTGGTGCATGCCTGTAATCCCAGCTACTCAGGAGGTTGAGGCAGGAGAATTGCCTGAACCCAGGAGGCGGAGGTTGCGGTGAGTCGAGAACGCGCCATTGCACTCCAGCCTGGGTAACATGAGTGAAACTCCGTCTCAAAAAAAAAAAAAAAAATGCAAAAATTAGCCTGGAGTGTTGGTGTGCACCTGTAGTCCCAGCTACTCGGGAGGCTGAGGCAGGAAAATTACTTGAACCCAGCAGGTAGAGGTTGTCATGAGCCAAGATCACGCCACTGCTCTCCAGCCTGGGTGACAAAGTGAGAGCCTTCCTCTACAGAATATTTACTTATTTATTTGAAGATCCAGTCTCCCTCTGTCTTTCACATAGAGTGCAGTGAAGATACCTGGGCTCACTGCAACCTCTGCCTTCCAGGATCAAGCAATTCTCCTGCCTCAGCCTCCTGAGTAGCTGGGATTACAGGTGCACACCACTACGCCCAGCTAATTTTCTTTTGTATTTTTAGTAGAGACGGGTTTTATCATGTTAGGCTGGTTTTGAACTCCTGACCTCGTGATCTGCCCGCCTCAGCCTCCCAAAGTGCTGGAATTACAGGCAGAAGCCACCACGCCCAGCCTCTACAGGATGTTTAAAAATGTAGTTCCAGCTAAATGGGAGGCTGAGGTGGGAGGGATCCCTTGAACCCAGGAGGTCAAGACTACAGTGAGTTATGATCCAGGCTCTGAACTGCAGCCTCAGCAACAAGGCAAGACACTGTTTCTAAAATAAGAATAATAATTACTATTTTTTTTTTTTTTTTTTTTTTTTTTTTTGCCGGGGTTTCGCTTTTTTTACCCAGGCTGGGGTGCAATGGCGCGGTCTCGGCTCACCGCAACCCCCGCCTCCTGGGTTCAGGCAATTCTCCTGCCTCAGCCTCCTGAGTAGCTGGGATTACAGGCACGCGTCACCATGCCCAGCTAATTTTTTGTATTTTTAGTAGAGACGGGGTTTCACCATGTTGGGCAGGATGGTCTCGATCTCTTGACCTCGTGATCCACCCGCCTCAGCCTCCCAAAGTGCTGGGATTACAGGCGTGAGCCACCGCGCCCGGCTTAATAATTACTATTATAAATAAACAATGAGCTAGTAAAATAAACTACAAAATAACACCACCACCAATAATAATAGTGGCTAGCACTCATTGAACAGGTATTTGCAGGCAAACATTTTACCTATATTTACTCTTCCCTTATAAAACAAATACTCGGCCAGGGGCAGAGGCTCACACTTGTAATCCCAGCACTTTGGGAGGCCAGGTGGGTGGATCACCTGAGGTCAGAAGCTGGAGACCAGCCTGGCCAACACGGTGAAACCCCATCTCTACTAAAAATACAAAAATCAGCCTGATGTGGTGGCAGATGCCTGTAATCCCAGCTACCTAGGAGGCTGAGGCAGGAGAATTGCCTGAATCCGGGAGGCGGAGGTTGCAGTGAGCCGAGATTCCGCCATTGCACTCCAGCCTGGACGACAGAGCAAGACTCCATCTCAAAAACAACAACAGCAACAACAAATACTGTACTTGGAGGCCATATCAATGGCTGCCTGAGAGCGTTGCAATTGTTGTGTCTTCCTGGTGAACTGAAACTGTCTCTTTTTAAAGTTTTTGAGATGGAGTCTTGCTCACTGCAGCCTCTGCCTCTTGGGTTCGAGCGATTCTCCTGCCTCAGCCTTCTGAGTAGCTGGGGTAACAGGCACCCACCACCACGCCTGGCTAATTTTTGTATTTTTAGCAGAGAAGGGGGATTTCGCCATGTTGGTCAGGCTGGTCTCGAACTACTGACCTCAGGTGATCCACCTGCCTTGGCCTCTCAAAGTGTGGGGATTGCAGGCGTGAGCCACCTCGCCCAGCCATGTTTTCTTTCTTTCTTTCTCACATGGGGTCTGGCTGTGTTGCCCAGGATGGAGTGCAGTGGGTGGTTTTAGCTCACTGCAAGCTCCGCCTCCCACATTCAAGTGATTCTCCTGCCTCAGTCTCCTAAATAGCTGGGATTACAGTCACTCACCACCACACCTGGCTAATTTTTGTATTTTTAGTAGAGACAGGGTTTCACCATGTTGGCCAGCCTGGTCTCGAACTCCTGACCCCGTGATCTGCCCCCCTCAGCCTCCCAAAGTGCTAGGATTACAGGTGTGAGTCACTGCACCCGGCCCTCACTGAGCTTCTAGTCCAGCCAGGGGAGCTGGATATTAACCAAACAATGACGCAGGTAAATATTTAATTGCAACTATGACCAGTACTACGTGAAAAATGAAGGCTGGAGTGGTGGCTCACACTTGTAATCCTCACACTGTGGGAGGCTGAGGCAGGAGGATCCCTTGAGGCCCGGAGTTTGAGACCAACCTGGGCAACATAGTGAAACTCCACCTCTACAAATAATAATAAAATATTAGTGGGCTGGGTGTGGTGGCTCACACCTGTAATCCCAGTACTTTGGGAGGCCAAGGCGGGTGGATCACTTGAGGTCAGGAGTTCAAGACCAGCCTGGCTAACATGGCAAAACCCCATCTCTACTAAAAATAC